AGAACCTGTTGTTAAAATATTTGAATCCCACCACTGAGAATATGGCATAGAATTATTTAACAGTTTTGTTGTTTTCCTCGTTTAAAATTTTACTTAACAACACTGAACTATATATTCCGCCAAAATGCATTATTTTAGCATTTTAAATATAAGATTGCTAAGTTTAGTTTATCAGGTTGTATAGGCTAACCAGTACCTGGTGAGATTCTTCAAACTGCCTTTAACTTATTGGGCACTGAATAATTTTTAAAGTGATGAAAAGTCGAATAAAAGGAAAAGGGGGTAAGAACATACTTAGTAAGCCCCCTTTTTCTGGACCAAAATCAACATATGGAAACATAATTTTCTTGTCCAAAACACTGTTTTATTTACAAAATCTATACAAGACAGTTTTACAACTTTAGACAAAATACTGAGGCCAAACTGACCGGGGAGGGATAATTTTTAATATTAAGTATACTTGTATTCAGTTGATTACAAAATATAGGAAGGACGTTAACTACACATTGTTTGATATAAAGTCACCTAGTTTCGTGACATCTAGGTTAAATAAACCTTCATTTACGCCAACTATCTACACGTCACACACAAACATCACAGCATTTAACATTATAACAAGTAACAATGGTAACTGCTTATATACTATTGTTTTCTTTGGTAACAAAAAACTCAAATCCACCATTATTATAAATACACACTAGTTTTAATATATATATATATACTTATATGAACACGTATGAATATGAATACTTTGCAATTTTTTTTACCAAAGTTGTAAAAATATCTACTTGGCTGTTTACTGAAACACAACATATAAACTTACAAGAAAGTACGAGTTGTGGTGGTACGACGCATAGCATCGAACAACGAAATCAGAATATATTTTGTTACACCTAATATTACAAAAAAGTAAAATCCAAACTTTTAAAGCACATACTACGCTATAGCACCAAGAGCATTGTGCAACACAGATAACTCAGTTACCCAGCACATGCTGTTAAGTGCTCACTCATATGATCCAAAAATTAGTAATATATCTTACTTTATAAGATATATGGTTACATTTACTTTGCTGTATACTGGATCTTCTATGAACTAATTATGACTAACTTTATTCATATATTTATCATGTCTTTTTGTTCTCTAGATTAGTGGTTCCTGACCTTCTTACAACCAAGGACCAGCTAACTCTGATCCAAACATTTCATGGACCACTTTATATGTTAACTTTTTAAAGTACTTCTAAGTTACATTTTAAAACAATATACTTTAGTATATATATATTTTAAAACACGCATTTGTTTTTCCAACCATCTTGCAGATTGGCTGAAATCTCCATGTAAAATGGCGGTTGGGAACCACTGCTCTAGATTATATGCAGTGTCCCACTAAAACCTTCACTGTTCCATAGCAAATACGTCTGAACTGTTGGGTTTTAAACTAGTGAACAGTTTGGTAGCAAAGATTGTGATATTATTTGATATTTCAGTTTGATGTCATTCTTCAAGACAATCAGTATTACATTATTTAATAAAACTTCAAAACATCAACTAAATGGTTATAATCCTTACTCAATCGGTGCATAACTAAAATGTTTCAGCAGGTTTTAAAAAAGCAGTTATTCTTTAGTGAACCAAGTAATATTCAGTAAATGTGTAATTAAAAAACTATTGTCTATTATGATAGATCCAATTTTTAACATAAAAAACTTTAAATTCAAAATACTGCTTTTATTAGAGGTGATCCTTTCTAATGATAATTATGGAAATATAGTATAATTTTGTTACCCAGATAGTTATGCCTCTGGTGTAAACACACTACCTTAAATATATTCCAAATCAAAATATTAAACCAATGTTCATTTATTATGTAAAGTGATTGTATAAGCTTTCTACTTCCATCTAAAGCATCAAACTAATTTTGATACAGACTGTAGAAATCCTTCAATCCAACTTAAATGATGTAAGGAATGGGCTAATGATGTAGGGAAAGGTAGGTCAGAGGAGCTAACTAATAAGTACAAGGGGTTGATAAAGGCATTTAAAGAAAAAAGCCATAACTTAATTTTGTCAGGGATACTGCCCAGAATTAACTGTGGGAATTGAAGTTAGAAGTAGGTCACTAGGGCTAAATGCTAGGCTTAGGTTTGAATGTAAGGATGAGCAGATTGGCTGGTTAAACTTTTGGGATCAGTTCAGTGGAAGAAGGTAGCTTTTTGGAATGGATGGTTACATTTAAATAAGATAGTGCCTGGCTTGTTTGCTACAGCAATTAACTCAACTGTAAGGGAAGTTTTCAACCAGGACTAGACAGTGGTGAGGGCCAGGAAAAATGGAATGCAAAAAGAATAAGAGGCAGAGAAAAGTTTAGCATAAGAAATGAATATAGCAGTAGTTATAAGGATAGGCTTAATTGTTACTATTGTAATGCTAAAAATATAAGAAATAAAATAAATAACCTTATAGCACTAGTAGGAATGGAGGATTTTGATATAATGGGAATAATCGAAACATGGTTAAACGTAGATGATTTTGATAACAGAAATTTCCATGAAATACAGGGTTACAGGCTATTTAATAGGGATAGTGTATTAAAGAGGGGGATGAGTGACTTTATATGTTGAAGTTGAGGATATCAAAGATAATAGCAAACAGGAAATTAAGACATCAAAAAGGATGTATGAGAAAAGGTTGGGAATTTGTTACAGACTATTAAATGATACTGATGAATTGAGATTTGAGCTGTTAATGAAGTCATAATTATGGGTAATTTTAATTTCAGACAGATAGATTGGGAAATGTCAAACCATGAGGGAGAAAGGTTTTTGGAAACCGTTCAGGATGGCTTTCTTTACCAATTAGTCAAGGAACCTACTAGAAACAATGCTATTTTAGATTTAATGTTAGCTTCAAATATAGAAATGATCAAGAGGGTGGAAACTGGGGAACATCTGGGTGTAAGTGATCATTGCTCTTTTAGATTCAATGTTTTGTTGCATATGATGTTAAGGAATAATGATATTTTGGTTACAAATTCCAAAAAAGCAAATGTTGAAGGGATGCGACAAGAATTATTTGTTGTGAATTGGGCAGCTGAGTTACTTGGAGACACTGATCAGATGTGGAACATTTTTAAATATTCAAGTTAAAAATATTTCTTATAGAAATAAAAGGGTAGCTGCAAGTAAAAAAACCAGGTTGGCTTATGAAGGGTATAAGAGATAAAATTAAAGAAAAGCATCATAAACTTAAGAAATTTATATTGACTAATATGGCAGGAGACTTAGAAGATTATAGAACATCATTAAAGTTGGTGTAACAGGAAATTAAGCATCAAAAAGGATGTATGAAAAAAGGTTGGCTGAAAATGTAAAAATTAATAGTAAGGATTTCTTTAAATACATTAAGGGTAAACAAAATATTAGGAAGGGGGTAGGACCCTTGAGAGATGATAAAGGAAGTCTTGTATCAGATGATTATGA